AAGGGCATGCACCTTGGTTGTGGGCACATCTCCAGAAGGGGGTGTGCAGGAGGCAGCTGGTCGATGCTTCTCTCTCATCGATGTTTCTGACTCTCTTCCTCTCTGTAAAAAAAATCAATAAAATATACATTTAAAAAAACACACAACACAATGAGATATCACCACACACCTGTCAGAATGGCTATCATCAATGAATCAACAAACAAGTGTTGGTGAGAATGTGGGGAAAAGGGAACCCTTGTACACTGTTGGTAGAAATGCAGGCTGATACAGCCCTTGTGGAAAACAGTATGGAGGTTCCTCAAAAAATTAAAAATAGAACTACCGAATGACCCAGCAATTTTACTTCTGAACATTTATCCAAAGAAATCCAAAGCACCAATTTGAAAAGATACATGCATTCCTATGTTCACTGCAGCATTATTTACAATAACCAAGAGAAGGACACAACCTAAGTGTCCAGTTAGATAGTAGAAAATTATATAGTACATATATACAATGCAATATCATTCAGTCATAAAAAAAAGAATGAAATCATACCGATTTGCAACAATATAGATGGACCTAGAGAGTACTATGCTAAGTGTGAAATAAGTCAGAAAGATAAACAAGATACGATTTTACTTATTTATGGAATCTAAAAAACAAACAAATAAAACAGACTTATAGATACAGAGAACAAACTGATGGTCGCCAGATGGGATGGGGGTTGGAAGACTGGATGAGGAAGGTGAAGGGATTAATAAGTATAAGTTGGCAGTTATGAAATAGTCATGTGAATGTAAACTGCAGCATAGGGAATATAGTCAGTAATATTTTATCTATGGCCCAGACCAGGTAGCTCAGTTGGTTAGAGCGTCATCCCAATGTGCCAAGGTTGCAGGTTTGATCCCCGGTCAGGGCACACACAATAAATGTATAAGTGGACCAACAAATCAGTGTTTCTTTCTCTCTCCCTCCCTCTCTCTCTCTCAAATCAATAAAATTTGTTTATAAGACTAAGAATTAAAAAAAATTTTTTTAACCATGTATGGTGCCTGATGGGTACTAGACTTATCAGGGGATCACCTCATAAATTATATAAGTGTCTATCCAATATGCTCTACACCTGAAACTAATATAATATTGAATGTCAACTGTAATTTAAAAATATTTTTAATAAAACGTTTAAAAATAAAATTTATTTATATCAAAATAGGGTCCTTTTGTACAAGTGGATGAACTGATGGAAATTTTCCGAAGATGCAAGATACCCAATAGTAAGTCATGAAAACTCATGAAAACTCCTCTTCTTAGAGTGGAATTCACATGGTCGTCTCCTATGCAGGAGGAGATTGACGATCTTTGCCACTTAAGTTTCTGAAACCAGCTGGCCACCTTACAGAAGTACAAAGCAACATAGGCGTGACCTTGGCACAGAGACTTCTTCACATTCTGATTTCACTAAGTAACACGTCACAAAAACCTTATCTTTCCTACTCATGTGAACATGCACTATTAGGTTTGGCCTATGAAAACAGTTTTATTGACGTTAGCAGTTTTTGTCTGTTCCCTCAATTATTTAGTGTTAGTAGTCCTATCCCCTCTTTGCTAATAGTAGGGGATAAGACTAACTATAAAGTATCCAAAGTAGTACGTGCATACTCTTTCATAGCAGCGTGATTTTCAGCATCTTCCAAAGCCCTTTCTGTTTTGTTCACAGCTGTTGAGGAAGCTGTGAGGCTCATTACGGGAGGCGCCCCAGAGCTCGCTGTGGAAGGCAATGGCCCGGTGGAAAGCAACGCAGTGCTCACCAAGGCCGTCAAAAGGCCTAACGAGGACTCAGACGACGACGAGGAGAAGGGAGCCGTCGTCCCCCCTGTTCATGACATTTACAGAGCGCGGCAGCAGAAGCGGATTCGGTGAAACCGGCTCAAAACCTGCCTCTACAGGAAAACTTTTACCCAGGATTCCCTCTTTGCCTCCTAAGTCACATGTTTAAGAGAGACAATGCTTTGTTACAAGGTTCTTGGAAACAAAGTTGTATTGTCATTGGTGCCTCTATCATCTGGTTCTTGAGAAAGAAAACCAACCAACCTGTGTGAATTTTACAACATGGAACTGAGAACAGTGCAAAATGGCAGAACCACATTTTGTTCCCTCTTCAAGGGTGTCTTGTATGTGCCGCTTGAAGACTGTGAGTTTTCAATAGTTTTATTTTAAAACTGGATGGCTTATGATTGTAAAGCATTTTATCACACTTTTCTGAAAACAGTTGTTCTCCATTTGCTTATGTAGAGTCCTGCCTTATTGTTTGTTTTTATTTATGGCAGAATGTATGGAATCTGTTTTGTAGTTTAAAATTTAAAAAAAAATCCTTTAATCAATAAAAGGATCTAAAAAAAAAAAGTCTTGCCTCCTTCTGCTGCTTTCATTCAGAATTTGTTTAAAACAGCTACTTACATTATGTTATTCAGCCAATACCATCAACACTGCAAGAAGAATCACGCTATTTACTGTGCGTATGCTTAACTGCATGTCCTCCCTGATCTTTTTTGGTACCAACTGGAAACATGAGGGATCCATTTTTTTAATATGTATTTTTATTGATTTCAGCAAAGGGAAGAGAGACAGAAACATCAGTGATGAGAGAGAATCATTGATCGGCTGCTTCCTGCATGCCCCCCACTGGGGATCAAGACCACAACTTGGGCATGTGCCCTTAATTGGAATCAAATCCAGGACACTTCAGTCTGCAGGCCAATGCTCTATCCACTGAGCAAAACCAGCTAGGGCAAAACTCAGTGAATTTTCCTGTCCCTGTATTTATTGTCATTTTATTTTTTTTAACTCTATTCCTCTTTCCTCTTCCTCTTCTTAGACTTCTTAAAGTAGGCCTTTTAACATTTCTTGGCTCTTTAAGAAGAGGGTGCCTGTGGCACTACCATGTAGCTCAGTTGGTTGGAGCATTGTCCTGATTTGCCGAGGTTGCAGGTTTGATCCTGGGTCAAGGCACACACAAAAAGCAACCAATGAATGCATAACTAAGTGAAACAACAAATCGATATTTCCCTCAAATCAATAAATAAAAACACTTTAAAAAATAATTTAAAATAAATAAATAAGTTGGTGCTTGGTCTTCAGTGGACGTTGCTCTCCCTGGCAGTCAGAAATCTCACTGCTTTTCACAGCCAGATGTTAGGAGAGTTCCTATTCCTGGTCCAGTGCTCTAGGCTTACACCCCCGGCAGCTGGTACCTCGGCAGCTGTCCGCTGACGTGGGGCCAACCCTCTGGAATCTCTGCCCACCAGTTTCAAAGTGGCTTCTGTAATTCCTTGGTTATAAGACTTCTCTTCAGTTAGTCTTCAGTGGTTTATTCAGGATGATTGTTCTCTATTTTAGTTGTAATTCGTTTAGTCCTTGGAAGAGGTGAATGTAGCTTCCACCTACTCCACCGCCACCTGGATCTCTGTCCTCCTTACCTTTAACAAAGGGATTCCTTGCACTATTTCATCCCTTGCTGTTCTGGAAGCGAGACCACTCCAGTAACTTCATGGCTCTGCTTCTAATACAATGTCTTTGTCTGAAATACACATGCATGTTTTACATTTTTTAATAGAGCAGGTAGTCTATGAGACCAAAACTCCTCTTTCAGTTACAAGATACTGTTGGAAATTCTGGTCACTAAAGTTCCTCAAAAAATACTGCTCAACACCCAGGGATTTTTCTATGGCTCTCTTATCAAAGCAGTAGTGAGTTCACACTATTTTATACGAAATTCTAATTCAGTCAACACAAGTTAATTGTATGACAGTGAATTTTTCAGTGAAAACTCGACATTTATCTCCTTTTATATTACTATATTTTAAATATACATATATTTTTTCCTTAACTCTCCAAAGCTTAAGAATAAAAAAACTTCCTCTGAAGACCCCATAAATCATATAACTGCTATAATCCAGGCTCAGGAATAACCTATAATAATAAAAGGGTAATATGGTAATTAGACTGGACAGCCGGATGACCTTCCAGATGAAGCTGGTGCTGCGAGGGCCAAACTCCTTGCACAATTTTCATGCATTGAGCCTCTAGTTTTGTATAAAAGAATAAGGTCTTTAAAATCAATATACTCTCCTCTAGAACAAATGGGTTCTGAGGCTCTGGCTGAAACAGGCAGGGAAAAAGCAATAAATAGGGTCAGCGTTAGGGTGAGGGGAGGGGCGAATAGTAAGACTATAGCCCTTCTATCTTTATTTTTTAATGTATTTTTATTGATTTCAGAGAGGAAAGGAGAGGAAGAGAGATAGAGACATCAATGATGAGAGAGAATCATTGATTGGCTGCCTTCTGCACACATGCCCCACACTGGGGATCAAGCTCGCAACCTGGGCATGTGACCTGACCAGAAATCGAACGATGACCTCTTGGCTCTTAGGTCAATGCTCAACCACTGAACCACATCGGCTGGGCTATATATGGCCTTTTAACACAAAATACCTGGAGGGAGAAGGGGTTCGAGGCTGTGCCAGAGGAGCAAAAGTGTAGACAAGGTCATGGCTTATTCTCTTTCATTCATGGGTGTCTAAAAGAAAAAGTACTCAGGTAACAGAAGAGAGGTCCCAGCTTCCTGGGAGAAACAGCTACAGTCATGATAGAGTGGGGGTGGAGACACATGGCAGTCAACCATTCCAAAGCTGAGTGCTTCCTGTGAAACTCAAGATAACAAAAGCTTTCTTAATTTATAAACTTGCATTTATAAATACAAACCCTCAAAATAGAATCCAGTGCATTTTCCCACAAGTCTTTTCAACAGTGACACACAATAAATATATTCTTCCTTTTGGATTCAGCGCTATTAAATAGAAATATACTAAAGAGCCATTTTCCAAAGCAACATGAGAGTTAAGAACAGGTATTCGGAGTGGAGTAGATAATATTGCTGCTGTTGGGAACATACGTGTTAGGATCTAACAAGGATCTTACTGAGGACTGCATCATAGTAGGGACTGAAGACCATCTTGTTATAGTTGACCAGACGAACAAATTTAATAGCAACTTCCTCCAGCTCTTTGTGGACTGGACCCAATCCCCCAGGTATTGTGGGCAATGCCTTCTCATGGCCTGAGGCAAGGTAGGTTTCTAAGAAGGTCAGGATTCGACAATCTGTGATAGAAAAGAACGCAATTAGTTGTTTCTTGTCCAGGGTGACTTTACAAACATCTGATTATGCTTCCGTGTTTAACTTAAACATCACTTTTAGGAAAGTCTTTCCTGACCACCTCCCAGATCAGGTACCCAGAGCACCTTGCACTTCTGAACAGTCATCACATTTGCACTGTTTCCTCTCCCCGCTAGATGGTTAGTTCCGTGAAGGTAGGACCTGTGCTTATTGTGTTCTTCATTCTCTCCCCAGCATCCAGCACAGTCCCTGGCATGAACCCTGGCCCCTATAAATGCTCAAAATACATTTGGAAAGCAAGAACCACCATACGAATAAATCCTGGGAAATCAGAGTATTAACCGATTCTGCTCTCAAAGGAGCAAGTCATACTGCGACCAACATGAGCCATTGTGGAAGACCACATCAAAAATGGGATGAAAAATAAAGCAGGAATTACAAGTTCAAAAACGAAAAGAAGATTCCAGCACTGATGGCTTGTGATCTGTCTTTTCCCACTAAGCCCATCGAAAGAAGCACGAACTTCCTTCTTCAATGCCTACAACGGGAGGCCATGGAGTTGGTGGCATTTATAAAGTTGTCCTAGGTTGATGCTTTTTTAGCCCATTCCCTTCTACAATGCTTTTGCACTCTCCTGTGTGTCCTCATCAGCCAAAAAAAAAATGGTGAATACAAGCCACAGTTCTTACAAGTTTTATTACAAAAGCAAGAGGAACATTCATATTGAACGGGCTTTTCCACCCTACCTGCCCACACCCTGCCCTGGGGAGCCCTCTCAGGAGTGAGTGACTTACGCCCTTCAGAAGCCAGTGATGCAGAGAAACTGCTCACTGACCACCAAAGGTAGCTTGGTTTTCTAAGGTTCCCAAAGCTAGAAGCCTCACCCAGAAGTGGAGATCCCGGTGTCATTCCTTTGTGAGGGCAGGTTGCTACCTCCATGTCTACCACTGGCTGTTACTAAACAACCAGGATGGCAGAATGAGGAGCAGCCCGTTAGCCAGGGTCTATTTACAGGCACTTTCCTGCTTCTCAATAACATTAATCTTGATGGTCACAGGGCGTGGCAATGTCTTCAAGAGGCTGCTCCGGAGTGACGCACAGGTGAAACTGTGACCATTGCAGGACTGGGACAAAATAATTTTTCAAAACCACTGATCCACGTACCTCTTTTTTCATAATATGAAAAAAGTAAAAAAACATTCTTTTACTAAGAATAAAAAAAAAAATCATAGTATTAGAAGCAGACCCACCACACTGGTCCACCCTTCTATGCACCTGAAATCTAATAACCATGAATTATTCAGGTTTCGCTGGAGCAGGATTTAAAAAAAAAAAAAAAATATCCTCCAGTGAGGATATATTTTTTTATTGATTTTTTACAGAGAGGAAGAGAGATGGATAGAGAGTTAGAAACATCGATGGGAGAGAATCATCGATAAGCTGCCTCTTGCACACCCCCTACTGGGGATGTGCCCACAACCAAGGTACATGCCCTTGACCGGAATCAAACCTGGGACCTTTCAGTTCACAGGCCAACGCTCTATCCATTGAGCCAAACCAGTTTCGGCTGGAGCAGGATTTTTAAAAAATATATCTTTTTACTGATTTCATAAAGGAAGGGAAAGAAAGAGAGAGAAAGATGAATTATGAGAGAGAATCACGCCCCACTCTGGGGATTGAGTCCACAACCCAGGCATGTGCCCTGACCGGGAATCGAACTGCGATTTCTTGATTCAAAAGGCCACACTCAACCACTGAACCACGCTGGCTTTTGACCCAAGGGCTATAATTTCCAACTCAAAGCCTTCAAAACAGTGATGGCTGTCTGGTCATTTGCCCAAACCTTTGGGTCTCCCCCAGCACGTACCCATGATCCTGCGGATGGGGTTGTCAGGACTGGCCACGGCCCGGATCTGGCCCTTGAGCACGGTCTCCTTGTCCGAGGAAAAGGGGGTGGACCCGCACAGGGAAAGGCAGCTGCTCACCTCCAAGCAGACTTTCTCACCGATGGTTGTCAGGGCATCCTTCAGATGGAAGGAGCTTGAGTAGAAAAGGGAAAGGAGAAGCCAGGGGAGAAAGAAGCTATAAACAAGGTGCACATCTGCCCACGCCTGATAAAGTCATGTGACCCATTTGTGCACCGATGTGTTCAAAGGAAACATCTGTGACTCTCTTCGCTGCCCATAACCTCTCCCCTCTCCAGACTCTCCCTTCCTCTCTTTCCTCCCAACCCCAGAAAGGACATGGAAAGGGAAGAACTCAGATAACGTCAGGACTAACAACTCAAAACTCAACTTCTTGTGAGCATCTGTGTGGTGAAATAAGCCTGGCTGAAGACTATCCTGAATGACTCTGAACAAGACACAAGACACCAGAAATTCGGTAGCAATGGGACAGAAGTGGGAGAGAAACTTTTCATTCAATACACCTATTCTCTTTTAATTTTCAAAAGATGTGAGTATAACTATAATGCTTTAAAAGAATGAGTAAAACAGAAATCGAAAGGTTATTAAAATTAATATCTGGATTTCTTGGAGCCCCAGGTGTCCCTAGAGTGTCTGCTGGGCACCCTCCCAGCAGCCGGGTGTTCTGGGAGGCACTCTGCTGGTCTGCTGGCGGGTATCCTGTGAGAAGGCAATTAAGTGCTTTTGTTCTGGGTCTAGATTCTTTGAACGGCAGAATCAGTGAGAGCAAATGTGCAAGCCCTGGGCTCACTGCTGGCACCAGCTCTGCCTGCCAGTGAATGTGGCCATGGGGGGCTGGGCGCCTAAGGATAAGCGGAACAGGGCCTCTCTCACCAGTAACTGACAGAGCAGTGATACTGGGGGGAACCTGGGGGACAGCTCAGGGTTACACTTGCACAAGGGGCCCCAGGCTAGGCCTCAGCTCAGCAAACACCCTCCTGCCCTATTGAACCTCCAGTCACAACATAGGTATGTGCCCCTCACTGCACCAAACACATGCGCTTTATGCAAACCCAGCAGAAAAACCCCCCTTTTGTAAGGATGAAAAGGTTTTGGGGACATTCCCCTGGAGGGATCTTCTCAATTGGATCTTGAGAGACCTCGCTTACTTAGAACCATTCTAAATTTTCCACATGCTGTGAACCACATAAATGGCCTAATCTGACTTCACTGTAAGAGCAGTTACACAGCTGACCTTAAAAAGTTGGATTAGCTCTGGCTAGTTTGGCTCAGTGGATAGAGTGTCGGCCTGCAGCCTGAAGGGCACATGACCAGGTTGCGGGCTCGTTTCCCGGTAGGGGTGTGCAGGAGGCAGCCAATCATTGATTCTCTCGCAGCATTGATGTTTCTATCTCTCTCTCTTCCTCTCTGAAATCAATAAAAATATTAGTGCCGGTTGATAAAATAATCCAATATACCCAGCACAAAATGTCTATAATTGTGCAAAGGGCATAAAACTTTAAACATATTTTTTATTGATTTTGAGAGAGATAGAAACGTAGATGAAAAACAATCAGCTGCCTCCTGTATGCCCCGTACTAACCCAGGCATGTATCCTGACTGGGAATCAAACTGGTGACCTCTTGGTTCATGGGTAAATGCTCAACCACTGAGCCACACCAGCCAGGCAGCCAACAGTATATTTCAATGGAATAGAATAGAAATATCTGGGTGTATTAAACATAGTTTGGGTAGGTTGCAGTTTTTGAAAATTTCATTTACATATGTGATGTGTCTAAGTGTGTACTAGGTCACAATAAAAAATTAATTTCTTACTGTGGGTCCTGGTCAGAAATATGTGAAAGCCACTCTCCTAGAGCCTTTCGAACATGGAGTTGATTCTAGCTTTGGCCATATGACTGAATAGATTCTGCTGGAGTAAAGAAAGCTAGAGGGCAAGGTCTCTCGATTCTTAGGAAGTGACCTAGATCCTGCCTTACATTCGGAGACCCCAGTCCAGCCTGCTCTCTGCCTCCCCCGCTGCCTCCCCCCACCCATTAAAGGCCCTCTCCACAGCTTTCCGCCTCTTACGGCAGATGCATGTCTGTTAGCAGGATCTTCACGATCATCTTGAGTTTCTCGGCGAAGTTGGCCTGGCTGGCAATGTCTGAGGCGGCCATGCTGAAGGTGACCAGCAGCACCGCCCCCAGGACAGTCAGGTGTTCCAGCTGGAGCTGCAGCTCTCGGAAGCGGGCCTGGTCCATCAGCACTGTCTGTGAGGAAACAGGAATCCCCCTTGAGCTGTAAACTGCTGGCAGCGAGGCCACAGCCCCCACACAGCCCTCTGAAGTTCCCCTCCGATTTTCTAGTCATTTCACAGCCACAAAGAAATCATGTGTGACTTCTCCTTCTGTTCACACGTGGGCTAAGACTAGGAGCTCCTTCTTTGTTGCAGTAGAGCATGCCCATTAAGAACACGAGACAGCCGAAACCGGTTTGGCTCAGTGGTAGAGCATCGGTCTGCGGACTGAAAGGTCCCGGGTTCGATTCCGGGCAAGGGCATGTACCTTGGTTGCGGGCACGTCCCCAGAACTAGGAGTTCTACCCCACAAGGCTGTTTTAAAGATGAAAAAAGTCCATGCATCTAAAGTGGCTGACAGAGGCAACACTCAATAAATAGAAATTATGCCTGTCTGGTATGGCTGAGTAGTTGAGTATCAACCTATAAGCCAGAAGGTCACTATTCAATTCCAGGTTGGAGGGGTGGGGGAAGAGGAGGCTGGTGCCTGGATTACGGGCTCCATCCTGGGGTGTGCAGGAGGCAGCTGATCAGTGAGTCTCTCTCATTATTAATGTTTTTATCTCTCTCCCTCTCTCTTCCTCTTTGAAATCAATACAAATATACACTTTAAAATAAAATAAATAGCCCAGCTGGTTTGACTCATTGGATAGAGCATTGGTTCTGGTCAAGGGCACACGCGGGTTGGTTGTGGGTTCAATCCCCAGTGGGGGACATGCAGAAAACAGCCGATCAAAGCAGTCAGTGGTAAATTTCCATGGCGGTGTCCTGGGTTAAAGACACCCTGGGTCCTCCCAGGGCCATCTCCCCGATGTGCAGTGAGGGAAAGAGCAGAAGAAAGACTGAGGAGCTAGGACTTCTGACCTGAGTTTTTACAGGTTAATCAAACTTTCAGGACCAGTCTTGCTATAAGAAGCTGACACACCAAATCAAGACAATAGAAATTTGGGGTCTTAGCCCAGAATTTGTCTCAAGAAATAAAAATGATTTTTGAAGATTGAGATTCAATTGTTAAACACAATTGTCAACCAACTCTGTCTCTCTTGTTTTTGTTTTGTTTTTTTACTTCATTTTGCTAGACAGCAGAGTCCTTACTTGGATGCCTCCCTTTTGAAAGCAGTATAGTTAGTTTAGGACTCAAAAGATTCCCAAAAATCAGTTCCAAAAGTAATCATCTATCCCCGATAAATACACCACACTCTTCACAGCTATTTTTTAAGGCTGAGAACTGCCCTCCAGCAGAGAACAAGCCACTATTCAGAAAGAACCCGCTCCCTGCTCCTGATTCAGCACCCTCTTGACAGCCTCCTCTGGCACAAAACACGGAACTCAGAGGCAAGAGAAACCTTAGGCTTTCAATGTCATGAAACAACCATAAGGAACTTAGAGATAAAGATGTTTAGAGAAGTAGCAGCGCCCGAGGCTAGAGATCAGAAGCCATCAGTGCCCTCAAAAAAGGGGGAATCTATACACCAAACCAGACAAAATGGGGAAATCCCTGTTAGTCATCTCCTCAAACGACTCCTGCCGTTAGAAGAACTTACTGTGAAAAACAAAAAGAAAAAATACTGCTCAGCATGGAAGGGAAAGAAGTTTCCTTAGATAAAACTAACAGGCAACATCACTGCTGCTGATGGATCAAGATGAGTAACAACTGGATAGCCCGTTCAGCAGCACAAGTTGGAAGCCCCAGACACTGCTGATGGGACCATAAAACGAGCAGATACTTTGGAAACCAGACTGGCAGTCCCTCATGAGTCACCACATGACCCAGCAACTAATCATTTGAGATACCCAAAGGAACTGAAAACATACGTTCACAAAAAACCCTGTACACAAATGTTCACAGCTGTTCAATCCACAACAGCCAAACAATGGAAACAATCCAAATGTAATCCAAATATTCATCAACTGATAGAGGAATAAACAAAAGAAATGCTGATACATGCTACAACATGGATGAGCTCTGGAGACATTACGCTGAGTGAAACAAGTTAGACACAACTGTCTGACTGCACTCAGATGAGGTACCCAGAGTAGTCAAAATCAGGGACACAAAACAGAAGGGTGGTGCCAGGGGCAGAGGGAGGAAAGGAGTTCCTATTTAAAGGGCACACAGCCCTGGGTAGGGAGTTCAGCTGAGAAGAGTATGTCCCAAAACACCAAGGTTGCGGGTTTGATCCCTAGGCAGGGCACATACAAGGGGCAACCAGTGAATGCACACATAAGTGGAACAACAAAATCCATGTTCCTCTCTCTCTTTAAAGTCAATGAAAAAAAAAAAACTTAAATTTTAAAATAAAATAAACAACGGGTGCAGTTTTGATCTGTGAAGATGGAAAAGTTCTGGAGATGGATGGTGGTGATGGCTGCACAGTCCCTGGTGCATTACTGAACCATACACTTAACACTGATAAATCTTGTGATGTGTATTTTACAACAGAAAAATACAACTAAAAAAGATAGGAATGACGTACTGACACAGGCCACAACATGGATGAACATATCCTTAGCGAAAGAAGCCAGACACAAAGGCTAAGTCTGTATGATTCCACTTATAAGAAACGTCCAGAATAGGCAAATCCAGAGACAGAAAGTAGATTCGTGGTCAGGGGTGGAGGTGGAGGTGGAGGAAGAGGGTGGGGAGGTAGTGACTGCTAACGGGGACAGGGTTTCTTTGTGAGGTAATGAACATGCTCTAAAATAAAATGATGGTAACAGTTACATTACTCTGTAAAAAAAAACAACACTGAATTGTACAATGTAAAGGGGGAAATGTGGTATATGAATTATAACATCAAAAAACTACTAGTTTTTGCCGAAGCCGGTTTGGCTCAGTGGTAGAGCCTCAGTCTGCGGACTGAAAGGTCCCAAGTTCGATTCCGGTCAAGGGCATGTACATTGGTTGTGGGCACATCCCCAGTAGGGGGTGTGCAGGAGGCAGCTGGTCGGTGTTTCTCTCTCCCTTCCTCTCTGTGAAATATCAATAAAATATATTTATTAAAAAAAAACAAAAAAAAACAAAACACGACTATTTTTTAAAAGTTTGGCAGCACAAAAAGAAATGAGCAGTTACCTGCTCTGCAGCACTTACCTCAGGGAAAGGCTGCTGGAGGTGGTCCCACTTCAGAAGCTTCAGGTACGCGTAATTCTGGACAGCCGCAGGGCTAGGCATGGGGCTGTCTCCTGAGCCGGCGGCCCCTCCCCCCGCCGGCAGGGCATTTTTATACTTCTGATTCATAAGGTCATCTGCGGCTTCTCCCAACCACTGGGTGACAAAGTCCAGGGAGTCTGTGAAAACAAGGCTGTGGGCATTACTGTAACCATCAGGAGGGATGCTTCTCGGAATGGCCTTTGGGAAGATCATCCTGAGGTGTGGTAGAGTACGGAGAATGGACTTTGGAATCAAACAGAACTTGGTCCAAATCACTGTAAAACTAATTACTGGCAGAGTGATCTTAGCCAGGTCATCACCTGTCTGAACATCAGATTCCTACACTGAGGAAATGCACATCAATGACAGTCTGCTGTGAGGATCAAACCAGATCGTGACCTAGAAAGCACCTAGCCTGGCCTTGCACCTACAGATGGTGAAGGAACCGCTCTCTTCTCTCCCTCCCTGGCTTTCCTTGTCTAGATCTTAGTCTCGGAACAAGCTGGTTTCCCAACCTCCTTGCGGGAGGTGAGCCTTGTCACACGTTTGATGTGTATTAGGCAACATCTGGAACACTGTCCGGGAACCTCAGTTGTCTTTCATCCACTATTACTCTCTCCTTAACTAAGTAGAGTAATGCACCAGGGACGCGAAAGGACACAAGAGGAAGAAAATGAGGCTTCTGGCCACATTATCTGAGCAAGAAATCCCTCTGGCAGGTCCTGGAACGGGTTTCAGCTCTGCCAGGGAATCTGCCTGAAAACCAGTGGGCGGCCAAGGCCAGGGCTGGAGTTCACTTTTCGTTGATGCAAGAGGACACAACCTCTGCTTCTGCAACACAGGAATCACACGGAGCTCTTGTTCTGAGCTTCACTCTTGCTTGGCCCAGGATTGGGAAACCTTGGCTTTTACACTGTGAGTATTAAAGTTCTAGACTCTGGCCAGCAGTGTGCCCTTCGTGGGGTCCCGGCTGCCAGCCTGGCTCTCACACTCAGTCTCTCTTCCGCCAGTCAGACTGCAACCCTGCATTCTCCTGAGAGGCAGTACAGCCCTGGTTGAGGAAGTGAGCTGTGTGGTCAATCAATTCTAGCCAAAAATCTCTCAAGTCTATGTCCACTTCTGTAAAATGAGATTAAAACATAGAGCCCACCTCAGGGGCTTAGTGTGTGAGGGTTATACTTGATAGATAATGCGCATGCACCCTGGGCACAAGCGTGAGATGGAATAAACATCAGCCAGTCTTCCTCTAGTCTGAAACTTCTACTTTGCTGTCCCTCTCTGCCTGGCCCAGCACCATCCCAACTTCTCTCTCTGGGCTAGATAAACTACTGCTCAGGGCTGAATGAACTATTCTGGTCAGACAACACAAGCTGTGCCGAGACAGGCACTTCCACTTTGTGGCCAGCAAAGTTAGAGGTTAAACAGGACTAGTCTTACAATGGATCTGAAGATTGCAGTTTACCCAGAATAGCTGTGGATGCAGAGACCCACAAAGCACCTTCAAAATGCAACATAATTTTGGATTCTATAGTCATCTGTTTTCCTGCCGTCATCTCAGAGGTTCATAAAAGTAAGACTTCTCTGGGTCTGCAAGCAGATTTTTATGAATATGAAACAGAAGCAAAGTGAAATTTCTTGATGTACCTCACAGGGAGGAGAAAAGTGAATTCAACAGTCACAAGAAGTTTATCGTGTTTTGTTTTATTTTTAATTTAATTTTCTATTTCGTAGAGGGAGGAAGAGGGAGAGATAGAAACATCAATGATGAGAGAGAATCATTGACTGGCTGCCTCCTGCAAGCCCTACATTGGGGACCCAGCCCAAAATCCCAGGCGTATGGCATGACTGGGAATCGACCAGTGACCTCCTGGTTCATAGGTCGATGCTAAACCATTGAGCCATGCTGGCCAGGCTGCCATGTTTTACAAGGCCAAGCATAAAACTTATCTCAAATTGGTGCCATCATCAGAAATCTATTTAAGATCTTCATTCTTTTAAATTTCCATTCTTTTTATTTTCTTATTTTATTCTTACACAAAGGATATATGTTTTTTATTGATTTGAGAGAGAGAGAAACTTCAGTTGCCTCCCATATGTGCCTGGACTGGGGATTAAACCCACAACCAGGAATCAAACATGCCATCTTTTGGTGCACAGGACGACGCTCCATCCAACTGAGCCACACTGGCCAAGGCTCAAATTACTATTTTTATATCCTACTTATATTTCTCTTGTCAATTAAGCTTTATTTTCAAGTACTAACGTCTGTGCTTTTCTGTCTTCAAATAAGACTATTCTCATACTAAATTTTAGTTTTGTTTTGAAAATAATATTGTTATGCAACAAACTACAGCAACTAAAATAAAAATTTTAAAAAGACAACCAAAGGACATCCCAAAATATTTAAACATACTTGGCTGCTTCTCCAAAAGCTCTTGAAACTTCTTCCTTTCATATTCAACTGACTGCTGCATGAGATGTGGCCTGATGCTGCTGACAGCAAAGTTTGCCATGTCCACCTTCATCAGGTCCAACACAGAAAAAATCGCCCTAAGAGAAGACACAGCGAAGGACTTAGAACTGGACACGTGTAAAGTAAACATCGTTTTCACTAAAAGAGGTGATCTGAGACAGTCTTTTCATCTCAGAAAGGGTGGCAAGAAAAGTTAGAAAAATCATGAGAAAATGAGTTAAGAAAAACACATTTAGAAAACACAAAAGCTTAAGTAATAGTTTGAAAAGACTGCAGATTTTTAAGCTGCTTTCTGCCCCCACCCCTTTCCCCCTTACCCCCAAGCAAACAGCTCTCCCCTGTCTGTCTAGACCAGATGCATTCCTTGGCTTCGGAGCAGCCCTCGCAGCAGCCACAGAGGAAGGAAGGAGCCCGAGACCCCAGGTTAAGGGCACAGAGTTCACCGCCCAGTAGCTACTCTCATAGGTTAATGCACTTTCCTAAGACAGAAAGGAGACTGGCTCTCCTTTCTCCTCTCCTCCTACCTCAGTGTCTCTTATTTCAGGGCATGATTTAATCTCTAGTTCTGGTGGCAGAACTGTTGTTTCATTCTCCGAATGTGCCCAATGAGCAGACTTGACACAGTCATGGCATCTTAAGAACCTATCTTTAGAAATAACCTAAAATACAGGCAACAGTTTTGAGCACAAGGATGTTCATTGCTGGGTTAAATAGTAAGTAATTATACATAATCTAATTGTCTATGTTCACACACAAAAAAAACAACACCTTAATTACAGGCAAATGAATATTTTGTAGCTATCAAAAATGCTTATAGGGAGTTTTTAAAAATCATATAAGTTGGTTATAAAAGGGCAATGCAAGAGATCCTTATGGTGTTAAAACTGTTCAGTATTTTGAATGTGGTAGCAGATACACAAATTCACACAGATCATAAAATCATATAAAAATAGACAAACACACAAATATATATATATATATATATATACACACACAAGTAAAACAGGAAACTTAAGTGAGAGCAGTAGATTGTATCAGTGTCAATAGTCTGGTTGTGATATACAACATTTTACAAAATGTCAGCATTGAGGGAAAACTGGATAAAGTGTACTATATTATTTCTCACACTTCCATGTGAGTATACAGTATCTCAATGATGCTTTGAATTTCCAGAGACATGGAAGCATGGAACAGAGTGCAGAATCTCAGAGAGAAGGTGGGGGAGGGGAAAGGAGCGGAGTGGGGGGTAATCAACCAAAGACCTTGTGTGCATATATGCATAACCCATGGACACAGACAATAGGGTGCTGAAGGCTTGGGGCGGGGGTGGGGTGAGGTGAGGGTTGGGGGTGGAGTGAGGGGTGGGGAGCAGGGGCGGGCTGGAGAGGGGTCAATGGGGGGAAAAGGAGGACATATGTAATACTTTCAACAATAAAGAATTATTTTTTAAAAAAATAAGTGAAATGATTAGGGTATAATGTTAACAGAAAACTTCAGGCCTGCAATACCCACTAGGTCTCCTCAGGTTCAAATGAATATTCAGACCCACAAGACTATCATAAAAATAAAAAAAAAGACTATCATAAGCCACAGCCTTGGCACCATTTACTAGTATTCACACAGTTTGCCAACAGGGCAGCTCCAAACATTTCTCTTCAACAGGAGTTACAAACCAGCCACAGGCACGCAACTCAGACATGTGGGAGCCACCTGGCTCAGAAGCCTCAGGTGAGAAAATATTGAGTAACAACTCCACAGCATGGCCTCCAGGGTCCTCACTAGGGGCACATCCAATTATAAAAGCTACCTCACCAAAGGAAGTCCCAAGTATGGTGTCCCAGCCAGTATTTATAGTTCACTATCAGTGCTTTCAGTCCAGGCACAATTCACCAATCCGAGTTCGCTCTTCCCACAAGCAATGTTGCCTAGGACCATTTTGATACAAAACATCTTTATCTGTTCACAGGCACACACAGCTAAAGCAGTTAACCAAAAGTCAAAGTCTCAGGCAGCATCAGCCAATTCTTTGCCCGCATTAGCATAACAATTATATAATTTTAATAATAATCATACATATGTAAATATAAACATGCAAAACACCAAAGAAAGTTCATATAAAATATGTTAGTTAATAGGATTATATTAAAGTTAAATTTATTGAATGTCTTGTTTGTGTTTTGATTATGTAGGAGAATGTCTACGTTCTTAGGAGATGCTGAAATATTTAAGGGTGAAATGGCCCAATGTCTGCCATTAACCCTCACAAGGTTAATGTGAAAAAAACGTACACACATGCATACATACTCACATGTATATATAAAGAAAGCAAACTGGGAGCCCGGGTGGGTGGCTCAGTTGGCTGGAGCATCATCCTGTACACCAAAAAGGTTGTGGGTTCAATTCTTTGTCAGGGCACATGCCTAGATTCCAGGTTCCACCCCCAATGGGGGCTTGTATAAGAGGCGACTAATCAAGGTTTCTCTCTTATATCGCTGTTTCTCTCTCCCGCTCTCTCATCAATAAAAACATATCCTCAAGTGAAGATTAAAAAGATAAAATACAGCCGGGACCGGTTTGGCTCAATGGATAGAGCGCCGGCTTGGGGACTGAAGGGTCCCAGGTTCAATTCCGGTCAAGGGCATGTACCTTGGTTGCAGGCATATCCCCAGTAGGGGGTGTGCAAGAGGCAGCTGATCGATGACTCTCTCTCATCGATGTTTCTAACTCTCTATCTCTCTCCGTTCCTCTCTGTACAAAAATCAATAAAATATATTTTAAAAAAAAAGATAAAATACAAAGAAAGCAAATTGATAAAACATTAAAAACTGGTGGATCTACATAAAGGGTATATGAGTGAAAATTACACTGTTTTTGTGAATTTTCTGTAGGTTTGGAATAAAAAAAATTAATGGTAAAAAAAACTAAAAAACATATAAATCAACATTATAACAGTGATTGTGCCTTTTGGTGGTAAAGTTATGGGTGAACTTTTTTCCTTCTTTCTACCTTTCTGTGTTTTATAAAATGTTTGCTTTTGAAATTTCTTTTAAAAAATTGTATGAGTTATTTGCCCTAGCCAGGTAGGTCAATGGATATAGCATCGACCCACAGACTTAAGGGTCCCAGGTTTAATTCTGGTAAAGTGCATGTTCCTCGGTTGGAGGCTCGATTCCAGGCCCTGGATGAGGTGTGTGTGGGAGGCAACCAATCGATGTGTCTCTCTCATATTGCTGGTTCTCTCTTTTTCTGATTCTTCCCCTCCCTTCCACTCTCTCTAAAAATCAAAGGAAAAATATACTCGTGAGGATTAATAACAATAACAACGAAAATGCATGAGTTATCTCTATTTGAAGAAATCTAAATTTGAAAAGAGGTTCTGTGTCCTAGTGCACTTGAGGTGATTAACACAACTGGCATACCTGAAAAGGGGCACTATTTCCTTAATGTCCTTTAGCTTCTTAACTTCCTCATCTCGAGCAGGTGCACACAGTGTTCCCATCATGCCAATAATGAACTCAACCAGCTTGCAAATGTCAAGGGCCCCATTCTCTGCCTCCTGCATTATGAGATCCAGATCCAAGACTTCCGTAATCTGGTTTCTCAGTCTAGTGTGACCAGGCAGCAGGAAAGATAAGAGAGTCTGCAAAAGAGTACAGCCACGTTTCAGCAGTTTCCTAGTCAGACATAATTTTTTATTATATACTAGACGCCCCATACACGAAGGTTCATGCAAGAATGGACCTTCATTCCCCAGGCCGGATCCGCCTTTTAGCCTTCCCACACTGCCCAGAGGCCCAGAGTGGCTGGGGTGGTGCAGAATGCCTGCATCATCGCCATGGCGATGACACAAGTGTCTCCCCTTGCCCCTGGCCCCTAAGCACCTGCATATGCAAATTAACACACCATCTTTGTTGGTTTAATTTGCATACTCACTCCAGATTGGCTGGGGGGGGGGGGTTGTGAAGATACGGTCAATTAACATGTTACTCTTTTATTAGTGTAGATAAAGGGATTTACACCTACCCAAAAGAGGACTTACCAACTGTTACTATAATGTTGCATATATTTTAACCCCTCATTCAACAAATCTACAGAAAAACATGTTTACAAATCATTTAAACTAGCTATTTAAGTTTCCATTTAAGTTCTAGGAAGAGCTCAACTAGATAGAATATAAATAGAAGTGAGAAAAGTAAAACACATTCATTAACTCAAGCCTATGACCCAACCACAGATGGCAATTTCCACAGAAATATTTCTTCTTTGATACTACTGTTAGAGGTATCACAAAAACAGCCCTACCTTTCACTAATGCCTTCTCTATTCCTCAGGCTGAATCACTTTTTGGCCACTATAAATTGAACGTGTCCACACCTATTAAAATTTTTATAAATCATCTATATTTCATAAAATAAATTTTCTCTAAATAATTGTGTTTTTTAAAAAATATTAACCTTGTCTTTGTCTACAAAGGAATGCTTTCAAGTCATCATAGCTTGTTTGAAATTTTAAAAAGGGCATTAAGCCAAAAGTACTCAATCCACATTTCGGCAAGTAATTTAACTTCATCCTTACTTCCGTTCGTCTTCTGGCACAGTAACACAGTAACACAGTAAGAGAAGTTAAATATTCCTAACACATCAGAAAAGCACCACAATGTGCTCTTCACCTTACCTCCTTGATCTCACCAAGAAGTTTAATGGCATGGTCGTAGGTTGGGGGGTCTTCACTTAGCTGGACACTCAAGCAATCCCAAAAAGCTTTGTGTACAATCTCCTTGACTTTCTTCTCCAAACTGGAGGCAGATGAGGAGGGGAGAAAGCAAAAACAAATAAAATGTTTGAGCTCAAATCACATTTAAAAATTAAAACAGCCTTTTTGAACTATGATTTTCATACTATAAAATTCACCTATTTTAAGCATACCATTCAAAGATTTTTAGTGAATTCATCAAGTTGTGCAACCATCACCACAGTCCAACAACAAAACATTTCTATCACTTCGGGAAGACCACTCGTGCCCAAGCTGTGCGCCAGGTTCCAAAGATGCCGGGAGGCATTCCCAGAGAACAAGCCGCTGGGCTCGGCCACCCTGCTCCCTACCCTCGACCTAGTTGAATATGACATATCTCCAGAAACTAAAAGCTGAGCAGGTGGCCATAAGATACCGGCTTACAAGAGAGCACTTGCTTCCATACAATGACTTCAGCCTCCTGGGGCCCATCCAAGACCCTGCTTTGACTCACTGGACCTACACAAGATCAGTAAATGTCTATCCCAATTTCAGACCCACTCCCAAGGCCTCACTCTTAGGAGCTGTGATTGGAATTGGGTCCCTCTTCTCTGGTATTACAATTTTAAAACTGATAGGTAGGGGGAAAAAACTTACCCAGAAAGGAAAATTGGATCAAACATTAGGAGCCAGTGCCCAGGTCCACCCCACCCCAGGCAATCACTAATCTACTTTCTGTCTCTATAGATTTTACTTCTCTGAATTTTTCATCTAAATGGAATTGTACAGTATAAGGAGTATGGGTCTGGATTCTTTTACTTGGCAAAATGCTTTTAAGCATTGTCATCCATATAACATGGACGCCCAGAGATGGTGGAGGAAGGGGAAGATTTATGTGAAGGATCAGTGCTTTGATCCTTTTTATGACTGAAAAATATTTCATAAGATGGATATATCGATACCACATAATATCAACTCATGTGATGATGGGACATTTGGGTTATTTCTACTTTTGACTATTATCAAATCACTTTCAAAAACACAAATTCTACAGGTGTAGAGTGAGAATTTTTTTAAATTGAAATAAAGAAAATATTCACAAACTTAAACTAACCATATGTCTTATTTTTAGTTAGTGATTTATTTCAATAAATACCTCACTGGAAAAAATAACTTTCAATTAATTTGACAGATGACATTATACCAGTTAACAGCATTAACAATGCCATATGATAAAAAGAACATTAGAAAGTTTAGAGCTGTTAATTTTTAATTTTTTTATACCATCAAGTTTCCTAAAGTATTTATGTTTAAGTAGTTTAAAATAACAATCCAGCTTATATATACATAGGTTAAAGCACTTTGTTTCCTAAAACTTATCCTATTTCCATGTGATATATGAAACAACTGCTTTAGAGGTACCAAACTATAACATCTTATGACACTTCATTAAAACCAGTAATTATAGTCTAGCCAGTGTGTCAGTGGTTAGAGCATCAGCCACACACTGATGGGTTGAAGGTTTGGTTCTCAGTCAAGGACACTTATCTGGGTTGTAGGTTTGATCCCAGGCCCTGACCAGGGCACATGTGGGAGGCAACTAATAGATATGTCTCCCTTTCTGTCTTTTTATCTCTTTCTCTGTCTCTCCTCCCCTTCCTCCTTCCCTTCCACTCTCTCTAAAAAAATCAATGGAGCCGAAACCAGTTTGGCTCAGTGGATAGAGCGTCGGCCTGTGGACTGAAAGGTCCCAGGTTCGATTCTGGTCAAGGGCATGTACCTTGGTTGGGAGCACATCCCCAGTAGGGGGTGTGCAAGAGGCAGCTGATCCATGTTTCTCTCTCATCGATGTTTCTAGCTTTCTATCCCTCTCTCTCTTCCTCTCTGTAAAAACTCAATAAAACATATTTAAAAAATAAATAAAATAAAATAAATCAATGGAAAAATATCCTTGTGTGAGGATTAATAAATAAATAAAACTTTTAATTATACTACTAGAGCAAAACAAGTAATTCTGCTTTATTTATGTGAAAAAGTACTCTTTGGAGAACACATAAGAAATGTCTGAAAAGTCGTATTTAAAAGTCTAATGCGGGAGACACTAGAGCTTGCCAACCTAGCAGCCATTCCTCCTTCTCTCTTCTTTCCATGGCACTTTCACAGTTGTAATGGCCGATGATCTTTCTTTCTTATTACCTTACATCATAAAAGGTGCACCTTACAATCAACAGAGTATCAGATCCAACATGGTATTTCCCGGGTGCGAGGGACACAGAACAATGTCTGGTTCTTGTCTGTAGAACAGGGGTGGGGAACATCCGGCCTGCTGGGCCAGAGAAGGCCCACAAAATCACGTGGGCTGGCCCTGCCAAGGCACTAGGGTGGATTAATTAAAGGTTTGACCAAATATAGGAGGCTCATTTTTTTTAGTTGATAGTTTTGAATGGCTCTCAAACAATGTTATAAATACCTAAGTGGCCCTGGGCAGAAAACAGGTTCCCCACCCCTGATGTAGAGTTTACAACCTGGTAAGAAACGCAAGTGAACCAACAGCTACAGTGCAATGTGATATTAGAGAAATGAATGCAACAGAGAAGAGAATCTGCAATGAGAACACAGTAAGAAGCAGCTAAGTCCTATGGAGAAGGGAGAAGTGAACACGCAAGATTTTTGTTTACATTTTTGAAGGGTCAATGGTCCTTCGATCCACTTTCAAACTCAAGTAATTCCTGGTAGAGGAGTATTTTTTAGAAACATACAAAAGGGGAGGTGTATTTGAATATGGTGACGTCACCTGAAGAAGACATTCCCAGAACTGGGAAATGACAGTATTCTACTAAACAAGTAACTCAGTAACCACCTTACCTATCTTCCGGTAATGCAACAGGTTTAATCTGGAAGTCTCCATTGACTACGATTTCATGGGCCAGAGCCATGTTAGTGACTCCTTTTGCTGTCTCTAGAAGCTCTTCTACTGTCACAAAGCGAGGAGGACTGGCTGTAACAAAATGCCCAGCGTAAGAGATTTGCTTCTCTAGATTAGAATTTCTATTAAAGTAAGGAGAAGGAAGTGGTTCTGGGACTAGTTAATAACTTCTGGTGATGCCTCTACTTATAAAAATATTCTGGCAACTTCAAACAACAAACCTATATTACTATTATTTTTTAAATCTAGAGTCCTAAAAGCAGAAGTCATTTACGAGGCTCAAAACACGTTTTGAAATTCTCAATATTATTAAGACTGGTCAATGAGAAATTATTACAATGAAAGAAATTGTAAAAGAAAAGAGAGAAAAACTTTTACAGACTATCAATCCTAAATGGCAAACGAGAGACGCCAGATTTAAGATTTCCTGTTCTGTTCCCATGAGCAGTTTGCATTTTGCATTTTGCTGCATCGATAACACTGCCCGTGGATGATCTCCCCAAATTAAAACAGCAGCAAGCACGTTAGGTGCCAGGTGCTGTTTAAACATTGCTAAAACCCTACATGAGTTCTAAAGCTGACCCATGAAGAAATCAGAGGGTGTGTGACGCAAGAACTTTGTAGAATGAGACCTCTGATTTCTCCCATCCCCTTCCCTGATATCCCAGTCCTGTAGCTTTCACTTCCGTATCAACAGCTGCAATAATGACTCCATCTCTCTCTCTCCTCTGATAAAACTTGAGATCTATCTCCCTGAAATCTCACTTGTCCTGAGCCAAGGAACATTGGATAATTCTGATAAATACATGGATTTTTTTGTATATCAATAAAGTTTTATTGATATTTTTAAAATAAAGTCCATGACAGCAGTTCTTTAGCCTTTAACAGAATTGGGGTGGGGAAGGGTAATGTTTGTGAAAACAGATTGCTGGGCCCTCCTCCCAAGTTCTGATTGAGCTGGTCTGGGGTAGAGCCAGAGAATCTGCATTTCTCACACGTCTCCAGCTGATACTCATGGTTGCAGAAATCATACTTTGAAAAGTAATGGCCTAGAAGATGACAGTATTAATTTTATGTCAGCTGATAGGATCTGGGCTTAAAAAGAGGTCAATAATGTCACTGGTTTACAAGGCATTTAATAGTTACAAAGTTTTTAAGTTGGTGAAAAGTAATTTTCCTTCCTCTTTTACTTTTATCTTTTGCTCATCAGAAAAAGGGAACTAAATCCAAGAGCTGGTCTGGTAAAAATTTTTATTTGGTCACATAAGGGGAAGTTGGAAAAATGGAACAAAATTCTAAGCATTTCCAGAAAAATCTTAATAAAAATAATAAATTGCTTCATTAATATAATAAATATCCAAAATCAAAGCCCAGACAGAAATTCTCAATATTATTAAGATGACAATTTTTGCCAAATTGATCTATTGATAAAATGCAACCCCAGTCAAAGTCCCAGCAAGATTTTTTTGGTTAAAATTGCCAAACTGATTTTTAAATTTATATAAAAATGCACCAGACCTATAAAAGCGAAAATCATTTTGAAAATGAAAAAGGATAAAGTTGGAGGACTCACACTAACTGATTTCAATACCATGTAAAGCTACAATAATCAAGACAGAGTATTCTTGGTATGAGAATAGATATATAGATCAACTAAAGAGAGAAGATCCAGAAATAGGCTAATACAGCATACACATACACTAAGTGTACATATGGTTAATAAGGCAAAATTAATTTTTGGTCAAATGGTGCTGGCACAATTAGGAAGCATAGTATGTGTAAAAAACAAGTCTCGCCCTGGCTGGTGTGGCTGTTAGTAAGAACGTTGTCCCATACACCAAAAGGTCGTGAGTTTGATCCCTGGTCTCAAGTACAGGAGGCAACCAATTGATGTTTCTCTCTCACATTGTTTCTGTCTCTCTCTTCCCCTTCTTCTAAAATCAATTTTTAAAAAACCACATATTTTTGGGTGAGGATTAAAAAAAAGGGGGGGGGGGCAAAATTATAGTGACGGAAAGCAGATCAGAGGTTGCCCAGAGACGGTGGAGGAAGAGGAAGATTTATGTGAAAATTTGGGGAGGTGAGGGAAATGTTCTAGCAGCTCATGATTGTGGTGGTAGAGACACAACTGTAAATGTGTTGGTCAAAAGTCATCAATCTGCACGCAACATTGGTGAATTTTACTATGTAATATAAATTATGCCTCAATAAAACTGATTAAAATTTGGAAGGCATTCAGTATACTATATATACAATTACTAAATTTCTTCAAGCCAGTATTTTCTGTTACCATTCATCAGAAAATGGAACGTCCACTGTAGTGTATCAATATCATGCATCAGGAATTATTAACTCCGAGTTCTTAATCTCTTAAAAAGAAATCCAGAGCCGAAACCGGTTTGGCTCAGTGGATAGAGCATCAGCCTGCAGACTGAAGGGTCCCGGGTTCGATTCCAGTCAAGGGCATGTACCTTGGTTGCGGGCACATCCCCAGTCGGGGGTGTGCAAGAGGTAGCTGATCGATGTTTCTCTCTCATCGATGTTTCTAACTTTCTATCCCTCTCCCTTCCTCTCTGTAAAAAATCAATAAAATATATTTTAAGAAAGAAAGAAAGAAAGAAAGAAAGAAAGAAAGAAAGAAAGAAAGAAAGAAAGAAAGAAAGAAAGAAAGATAGATATCCAGAGATTGTCACCAGGGCTTCCAACTTTTGCTTTAACCTTGGTTTTGCAAAAATCTCCAAATGTATGATCATCTTAAATTTATGAAATAACAGAAACTCACTAACTTCTCCTAGTAATAAAAAGGGTCCACCAGTGCTTGCTATAATAATACAATGTTAACTTCCATCTTGGCTGCTGACACGCCGTCCAGACGGAGGAACCTGGAAACTTCGGGGCCACATGAGCCGCAGCCATAGCCGCACCAGCGGGCACGGGGAGCCCCCGGGAGGCCATGGGAGAGCCGGTGGCCTGCATCACCACAGGATCAGCTTGGACAAATGTCACCCAGGTTACTTTGGTGGCAATACCCCTTAGAGAGGAACCAGAGCTTCTGCCCACCTGTCAATCTTGATACACTGTGGGCCTTGGTCAGGGAGCAGACACAAGTAAATGCTGCCAAAACCAGGCTGGAGCTGTTCCTATCATTGATGACGTGTGATCGGGCTTCCACACGGCTCTGGGGAAGAGAGAGCTACCGAAGCAGCCTGTCCTTGTGAAGGCCAAGTTCTTCAGCAGAAGGGCTGAGGGGAAGATTAGGGTGTGTGTGTGTGTACTGGGGGAGAGGGAGGGTGGGAGGCGGGGGAGGGGGGGGGGGAAGGATGGGAGGTCTGTGCCCAGGGAGCTTGAAGCCACATGGACAAAAGTTCATGAAATGCTCGTAAGTGCTTTCCCCCCCACTCCCACCCCCAGAAGGGTACTATGTTGGCTAATAAATTACCTGGAAACACAAAAAACGTTTGTACTCCTTCCAACTGTGAAGCATTACTGATCATCTACACTTTAAAGAGATAACATCAGCAATGACATTCTCAGACTATGACATCCCCTCTTAAAACTTTCATTTTTGGACTCACTTCAAAAAACTTAAGTATTTTTAATAAAAGGTATGAGTTGGGGCAACGGCTGGGAATTTCTGCAAAAACTGGCACCCTTTCATCTTAGGAGGCTGCTCCCTGCCAGGGATCTGAAGTGACTTGACCACAAATGCTCAGCGATCTGAATTCCCTCAACCTGTGAGAATCAACCCCCGGGCAATGAACCTAGGGTGTGGTGAAGTCGTGCCCTTTTAATTCCCCCCCGCCCTCCCGAATTTTTTTAACCTGCACAGGCACAGTCCTGGCTGGAAACCCGCTTCAGACTTTCAAGCACTCTCTTAATTAAAGCTGCAATTTATACCCCAACCTCCTATTTTTCAGAGCACTTCGGGGAAACTGGGATGTCACTGAGGCTGCAGGAAGGCAGGAACATTCTGGACATTATTCCAAAACTTTAATTTCTCATGCAATTGAAAACCCACAAGTGACTAGGCTGCTGGTTAGAAGAGAAAGGAGAAACTGTTATTGTTCTTAAATGCTAATTAGTGGCAAAGTTATCATATTATGATAACCCAGCTCAAGGAGGCCTCCTAACAATATCATCTGAAAATATCGCTTTTAACCAAAGTTAAATTTGCTTACAGTGAGGTCTTTGCACTCTCTGGGAGCTAGGAGAGCCTGACTTTTTTTTCTGTAAAGCGACCTCGGAACCGTCCATGGCATCTTCCAGGCCTTGTTCAGAATCATTAGACTGTGATTTTCCTGCTTCATTTAGATGGGACTTTTCAAGGTTTTCAGACATTCTCAATTAAGTTTCTTCAATTTCCTAAAGAGAAAAAAGATAGTGAACCTGGGAAGGAAAAAAGGAGCAGAATGTTCTAGAATGTCTAGCGGTGTGACTCCTGACAGACCGTTTAATCTCTCTGGATTTCAGCTTTCTCATGTGTGAAAGAAATAGGCTTGCTAGGATCTTATCCAGTTGGCATACTCTACTCCAATGACGAAACATAACTTTTGTTACTTATCAAATGTATGGACCTGTATCTCAGATGGAAAGTAACAAGTCCGAGTATTTTTGTCCCATTCCTGAGTTCCATGTAACATTAGAACACAGGGCTATACATTGCCTGCTTCCATGTTAATTCAAAGAGTGATTCGATTCTTACAACTCTTTACTTTCATTCTGAGTGCTGGTAGGAAGACTTTGGAAATGGTATGTGAATGTTTAATCAGGCTTCCAAGTAGCACACTGGGCTGAGGAGCTGGTTCCCGGATGCCATTATGTGAGTGAGACACCTTGGATGACAGATAGAAGGTAGAGCTTATGAAGCATTTAAGAAGAATGTGTGGGGCAAATACTTTTATTAACTTCTTACCAGTCAGCAAAAAAGGCTGATGAGCAAAGCAGGAAGTTGCAAATAACCATGATATATGTCACTGGGTGCGGTTTTAATTTTTTTAGTTGCTGACTAGAATAGAAGTAACATGTCAGTTTGGGCCAGTTAATAAAGGCCTGGAATAATAACCACTTATTTACTGTGTAAGTTTTTGTCACGTTGGTTTCAACCGCCATCCCCCCCCTCCCCACCCCCGTTTTAGAATTCTCTATTCCTAAGGTATTTCCAATGGAGGGAGGAGAAAGATGTAATGTTCCATTCCTGCGTTTACACTATGAAAATAATCAGTCTTTGTATTATTAGCATTTGAAGATCACAAAGCATTTTCATGAGCACTAATTAGACTTTACTACACACCTGGAAGATAATCCAGAGATCAGAAGAAATGTCAACGGCTTGTGGGAGGTCTGGTAGATGCTTTTCTGCACATCAGAGAAGACTCACTCGCTATAATTACCTGAAATGTTAGATATCGCCATTAAACAGGATGCAGTTACCGGAATTTACATTTTCAGGCCTGTATTATTCACATGAAGACTCCTTCTTTCTTTCTCTTCTTTTTAAAATATATTTTATTGATTTTTTACAGAGAGGGAGAGTTAGAAACACCGATCAGCTGCCTCCTGCACACCCCCTTCTGGGGATGTACCCACAACCAAGGTACATGCTCTTGACAGGAATTGAACCCGACACCCTTCAGACCACAGGCCAGTGCTCTATCCAGAGCCAAACGGGTTTTGGCTCTTTCTTTTCTGTTTTTGAATGGCAGGATGCCACATGCAGCACCTCATTTGGATGTGTCTGGGGTCTTGAAAGCTGGACTACCCTATGCTCTACAAATGAACCTTGAGAGCTTGTTTGGAGATTTTTAAAAATATATATATTTTATTGATTTTTTACAGAGAGGAAGGGAGAGATATAGAGAGCTAGAAACGTCGATGAGAGAGAAACATCGATCAGCTGCCTCTTGCACACCCCCCACCGGGGATGTGCCCGCAACCAAGGCACATGCCCTAGACCGGAATCAAACCTGGGATCTTTCAGTCCACAGACTGACGCTCTACCACTGAGCCAAACCGGTTTAGGCTTGTTTGGAGATTTTAGTAGAAGAGTGCAGCTACTGGTATACCCTTGACCCAAGAAGTTAGTCCTCTCCTCTGGTGGAGAAGGCCATCTTCCACCAAGAGCACAGCCCAGGGAGAAAGGCAGATGGAGTGCCGAGGGAGGAAGGGAACACCTGCCTAACCAGCCAGATCAGCCAAATCAACCCTGGCGATCGGTGGGGTGACAGGCATTGCAGCCAGATCACCCTTATGTCCTGAATAGTCCACATGGCTTTCAAACAGTTCCCCTTTCCCTTCCAACATCTCACCCCAGACACCCATCTCCTCTCTGTCCTAAATCCTATTTGGCTCTGGAAATGCTCCAAGATCCGATAGATAACATTACCAGCATATCCCAAGAGAAAAGACAAACAAAAACACTTCTAATTTTATCCCTTTCACATGCTGGGAATGAGCTCAAGAAGGATGAAGTCATTCATTCGATGCTCTAAGGAGGAAAGGCAGGATACTTAACTACCCAAACTAACCCATCCTTGTAAGATTAGGCTCCTCCCAGGACCTTCCCCAACCTCACCAGTACTTGCACCTGTCTCTGAACTCCTGCAGGACTGGTTACTGGACATGTGGCATTCATTGTTGCCTTAAGTCCAATTCAAAAATATGCTTATTTAAATAGTAACAGAAAGACGGAAAGCATTTCTAAGCATTTCCAGAATGGAAATGGTTCAGAAGGAGAAATGGATAGTCTTACAAGGAAATATGGCGAAACTTAAGCCTTAATGGCATTATGAAATCACCAAGGAAATAGAGCAGAGGGAGAAACTAATTTTGCCTGGAAGGAGATTGGTATTAGCCAGAAAAGGGGACATTTGAGCTGGTCTTTTTGAAAAGAGTAAGATTTCATACAATTAAAAAAGAAAAAGTGGAGTGAGGAAGAGGAAGAGCACAAGAGGAGGCACATAAGTAAGTGGGATAAGAGGCAGGTGATGAAGGTAAAAAGACGGGTTGGGGCCACATTATAAAATTGCTAGTTTTCTTTAAAAAAAAAAAAACCACACACACTTTTCACCTAGATTTTTAACTTCTTAAGGGCCAAGACCAACCACAGTCCACCCATATGCTCCATACGTTTATCCCCCAAACAGATACCCACTAAGGCTCTGTTGATAGCTGTGTCATCTCTGTGACGTCAGTGTCTGTGGGAGGGGTGGGCGTTGGTCTCAGACACAAACGGGTCCCCATTCTGCTCTTTACTAGCAGTGGAACTCCAGTTTCCTCGTCTGTAAAATGCAGCTCACCTAAGCCTCTTCTGTAGGGGAGAGAGTTTAAAGGACAGAACGTGCATAACAGATGGCTTCCCATGGGTGGCAATCACAGTCACAGGGCTAGAGGATGCATTGAACTATTTACTTACAGTGTGCTCCTTCCCTCACCATTCCCCAATGCCTGCTAAGCCTAAAAAGGGAGCCGAGGGGAGGAGGGTCCTCGCTCTTGCCGTGCAGACCGTCTATCTGAGCTTCACCCCGGGCCCAAGCTGGACACCAGAGACTCCCCAGCAGAAAGGGTCTTCCTTGCAGCAAAATACACAGGGGCTCGGTCCACCGACGCCAGGAACCACTTCCTTCCCGGGGCACTCGGTGCCACTCACTCCCAGATGCCTTTGTCAACAACAGTTTGGGCCGGCGAGGGAGTGGCCCGGCTGGGGACCGGCGATGGCTGGAAGCGGGGCGCGCCGGGAGGACGGCCTCGAGGGGTCCCTGCCTCTCCCTCGCCCCCACCCGCCATCCACGGGACCCGGCCCGACGACGGGGGAAGGCGAGGAAGTGCCTGTCATTTCCAACTCGTGCTTCCAGCCTCCGCGCCCGCTGCCCTCACCTGCGGCGGAGTCGGCGGTTTCCTCACTGCCTGCCTCCGGGGCGGGGAGTCTGGCTGGGCCGGCGCCCCGGCCGCGGAGGAGGGGAGAGATGCGCGGCGGGCGGGCGGGGCGGTTCAGCCTCTGCCCCTCCAAGGCCACATCCCTCGCCGCGTAGCGGGCCGTCCTCCCCGCCGAGTAGCGGCCAGCGCAGTCGCTCCTCTGCGTCGGGAAGGGGGAGGCAGGTCTTAACCTGGAGGCTTAAGCCCAATGGGGGAGGCGCCATGTTCTGTACGGAAAGGTAGGGGGCGTGGCTCCGAGCAGGGCGGCGCCATGTTTGCGTACGGAGAAGCGGGGGCGTGGCGCAGAGCAGGGGCGGGGCCACGTGTGGCGTAGGGGCGTGGCTAAGAGCGGAGGCGGCGCCACCGGCCGAGGGACCGGCGCTGAGGCCGGGTCTCCGCCTCAGGGATGCGAGCGGCAGAGCGGGCGGCGGGAGAGGACCGCGAGGTAGAGGAGGTGCGGCTTCAGGCAAGTGAAGGGCAGGTGGCCCAGCCGCAATGCCTTCAGAGCTTCCCGGTCCAGGTTTTCAAATGTAAATATTACCTCAGATGTGGTAGTTGCACGTCGTATATTCCCTCCCCTCCCCTCATGTTGGCTGTTAAAAAAAAAAAGTCATGCCGACCCCCGGGGTAGCCAGGCCTCACGTTAATGGCACAGACAAGGCTTGGTTCTGGGGTCATCTCTGAGGTTTTAAGTGGCTGCTACACTTTGTGGATAGGAAGAGTGAGACTTGAGCCCTGAAAAGACGGAAGGCGTGGGGCGCACAGACGGTTCCCTGGAGGGTTCCCTGAGGCTCAGGGAACGTCCTGGGGAGCCCTCGGAGCCGGCGTCCGTCCGGGTTCGAGAACGGGAAGCGACCGCGTTCGGACAGGGCCGCTGTGCAGCCTCCTCCTCCTCGAGACTGTCTCGAGGCTGTTCCGTGGAAGCCACTCTTTCCTCAGCCGGTAGCTGTAAAGTAGCGCACACGAAGAGAAATCGTTTATTGTGTTAAAAAGTAAAAAAATAAATTTAAAAAAAATAGGTGCGTGACTTCTCACTGGGTTCATTTGAAAAAAAAATACTTTTAAGACTGAACACTAAATCGTGTATGCTTTAAACAACGTGAAGTTGTTTGAACAATTGTCTTCTGCCTGTAGCTTATGAACGAGAATATCCCTGGCCGGTTTGGCTCAGTGGATAGAGCGTCCGCCTGCGGACAGAGGGGCCCCAGGTTCGATTCCAGTCAAAGGCGTGTACCGTGGTTGCGGGCACACCCCCAGCAGGAGGTGTGCAGTAGGCAGCTGATGGATGTTTTTTTCTCATCAATGTTTCTCTCTATCCATCTCCCTCTCAAAAAAAAAAAAAATCAATAAAATATATTTTAAAATAAAATAAAAAAGAACTACAATTAAACAAGAGGGAGTGGCATTGGTGCTTTCAAGCACTACTTCGTAAAGGGTAGTTAACCCGAAAGTAGTGAAGGCTGAGAGTGCACATACAACTAACTCCCTCAAGCCATTCACCAACTAGCACATTGTTTTCCTCTAAAGACACCCACATCCTCAGACCAGGGCTCGCTTCAGGGGGAAAATACCTTAAGATACTCAACTAACTGGAACTAAGATTCACAAAGAAAACATTCCGTTTTCACTTCTGAGTCCAGACTGTTGTACCGTGGAGTCTCTAGATTGGGGCTTCTCAACCCTGACCACACCTCCACACCTTCTGGGGGCAGATAAAGCTATCACCCAAAACTGGGGGGCTGGGAAGGGGGACAAAGAGGGATGGTGTGCCAGGCAAGAATCCTTAAGCTTCCCAGGTGATTGCAAGATGCAGCCAGACTAGAATAATCTCCCTAGCGAGACCTACCCCCTCCCTCTACCTGCCTTGGATTAATATAAACAATTTTCACGTGGAGAGGACAGTGGTACTCTACCAAAACCTTTTGGTAGATTTGACTTACTTCACCTTGTAACCTTTTGATATATTTTGAATCGTTTCCTTTATATTTTAAAAACATACTGACTCGTGTTTCAGTTTTGGCTACAAGGACTGGAAACAAATTACCTCGGGGTAAAGGGAGTTAACTGCAAGGCTCGCTGCACATAGAGTTTGGGAGGAGAAAGCGGCAGCTCTAGAGATCACTACTGCTCTATCTCGAGTCATACAAGAGCTCTCTCCTCCCATCCCGCTTCCTGCGGCAGGCTATCTCACTCCCCTATCCTAGACTGCTTTCTCTCTTTTCTTTGTTTTCTCATAGTTTTTTAATCACCCGAGGACATTTTTGCATTGATTTCTTAGAGTGCACGAGGGAAAAACAGACATCGATTGCTTGCCTCGTGCACCCACTTGCTCCCTCCCTGCCTTCCAGGCCCCCCCCCCACTCCCCATGGCTCAGTGGATAGAGCATCGGCCTGCGGACTGAAAGGTCTCAGGTTCGATTCCAGTCAAGGGCATGTACGTTGGTTGCGGGCACATCCCCAGTAGGAGGTGTGCAAGAGGCATGATGATTCTCTCTCATCGGTGTTTCTAACTCTATCCCTCTCTCTTCCTCTCTGTAAAAAAAATCAATAAAATATATTTTTAAAAAATAGGAGGAGGAGGAGGAGGAGGAGGAGGAGGAGGAGAAGAAGAAGAAGAAGAAGAAGAAGAAGAAGAAGAAGAAGAAGAAGAAGAGAATAAAGAAAAGAACCTATAGATTAAAGAGATTTAACAAGCACATTAACCAATTGCAGTTATGGACCTTATTTGGATCCCTATTCCAATAAACTCAAAATCATGTAAGATCAGAAAATGTGAACACTGACTGCACAGTTGATATTAAGGAATCATGGATCTGTGTGATTATATTTAATGACCTTATCTTTTAGCCAAACATACTGAAATCTTATACATACAATATATATATATATATATGTAAAAGCCTAAGCAACCATTCAACCAGTAGCTATGATGTGCACTGACCACCAGGGGGCAGATGCTCAACACACAGGCATGGAAACATGGAACAGTCTGATGAATCTCAGTGGGAAGGGGAGAGGGCAGGAAGAGATTAACCAAAGATCTTATATGCATACTAGAGGCCCAATGCACAGATTTGTGCACTGGTGGGGTCCCTCAGCCTGGCCTGCAGGGATAGGCCCAAAAACTGATAGTCTAACATCCTCCAAGGGATCCTGGATTGCAAAAGGGTGCAGGTCAGGCTGAGGGACCCCTCCAGTGCACGAACCTGTGCACCAAGCCTCTAGTTTATAAAGTGATATGATGTCTGAAATTTGCTGGGGTGGGACCAAGGAATGGAGTATAGGTGATACAAGATTGACCATGAGCTGAGAGTTGTTGAAACTGGGTAAGTATGTGGGAATTCAGTATTCTATTCTCCCCATTTTTTATATATGTTTAAAATTTTCCACAATAAGCTATAAAAGATGAAGTTTTCAAAAGCATTAGGGAAATTAAATTTCTAATTTATCTACAGTCTATGTTAATTCGTAAATTCATCAAATTTTATATTTTTAAGAAGTACCTCAAGGTACAAACCACACTCCTGTTAACTTGTAATTATGGACATTCTTACTGTTTAATACTTTCTTATGTAAACACTATAATGTCATATCATTTAAATGCTTATGTTTTAGAAAGTTTTATACACAAGAATTATAAATCATCTCACGTAAGAGGGTTAATACTTAACAGCAATATACCATCTAATAACTCAGTTTCAGACACAAAAGGTTATACAAAAAGGTTTTATTAAGCACAGTTTAATATTTAGAAGAACATTCAAAATTACAAATGTGATTGGGTCTTTTAGGATACGTAATTCTTAAAATACACAAGTTATATACAGACATTAGAAATTCAGTCTCCAAAATACTCAATAAAGATGTCTGGATGACACTTATAGAACTGACCTAGCAATTTTTTCTTCTCTTTGGCAGGCAGTTTTGGATCCTTATCAATAGTTTTTAATAAATTCAATAGCTCATCCTTGGTTGTCTTCTGTGTATGGTCCGAATAATCACTTTGATCAATCCTCTCACAAAAAGTATATCCTTAAATATTAAAAGTAAAAAGTTTAGTTAATTAATCTAGTCTTTAGATTTAACTATAAAAATCAAGCAATATTTTTATATTTAGTTCCCATTTTGTAAAATGCACAGAAGATGCTAAGCACTGCCAACTTTCTAACCCTGGTCAATCTGCATTTGAGTTATAAGGAAGCTCTTTGCTAAGTCTGAGGAAGTTGTTTAAAGTTTAATTGAAATTAGGTACAATAACTTACAATAAAACACTTTCAAGTAAATAGTAAGAATTTATCTTTGGAAGATCATGAAAATAATATTTCTCAGATTACCTGTGCCTGTGTTTGGATCTCCTCCCTTCTGAATGGCCATGAGCTTAACACTGACAATTTTATGTAGAGTTCCAGGGATCTTTAAAAGAAAGGAAGGAAGGAAGGAAGGGAGGGAGGGAGGGAGGGAGGGAGGGAGGGAGGGAGGGAGGAGAGGAGAGGAGAGGAGAGGAGAGGAGGAAGAGGAGGAAGGAAGGAAGATGGAGTAGGAGGAAGAAGAAGGAGAAAGAAGGAGGAGGAGGAAGAAGAGGAGGAAGAAGGAGGAGGAGGAAGAAGAAGAAAGAAGAGGAGGAGGAAAAGACATTGGACATTATTCAGATGCATTAATCTAATGACCTATTACATAAGCTCAAATGAACTGCTTTCAGAGTTTTACCTTAAAGACATCTTTTTGATGATCCATTAAAAAGAGTACCAGAAGATCAGTTTTGCCTTTAGATAAATTTTTATTGTCAACAACAGCTTTTGAGAATATCCTTTTCACGACCATTCGGTTGTCACTCTATAAAAATAAAACAACATACCTAATGGCATATATTTAAAAATTCAATATAAAATGTTAAATATTAATAACGATTATCCTATTTCAGCATGCTGATGATAGGGTCCTATAAGTATTAAGGATACCAAATAGAATGAACATTTAGACAAAAGACTTACTTCTTCCTGTAATTTAAATTCAGAAGGATGTGCTGCAACAGCCATGAAATACAGAAGTCTTCTAAACTCTTCTCTGCTCTGGGAATCCAGAAGCTTTAGAAAGAGCTGAGTAGCTTCTAATGCTATTTCAGTCTTCCCATTCACTTTAGCCAAAAGAAAAGTGCTTTTAATTTTGACCAAATATGACTACATTAAAGGGAACAATATTCAAGGTAAAGCTTAAGCTAAACAGTAAACATATTCAAAATAATTTCCAAAAGCAAAAAACAAGACGAAAAGACTAGGAATTATAATGAATGGCCAATACCATCAAGGGAGCCAATTCTCAAATTGGCAACTAATATTCTAAATCCTTGTCATATGTTATTCTTAGAATGTTAAATCTAAGTTTAGGCTTTGTATATAAGTTCCCAGCCTGTTTTTCATCAATTCAATACATTTTGAGGGCACACTATAGGTACAGTATTGATGTACCCAACCCTACCTGAGAAAAATAGCCTGGTATATTATTGGTAGAGGGACAAAGCAGGAGTCCCATTTTGAAGAGACTGAAGGAGAATAATGGTGGTACTTGTGTTCCTTTCTAAAGAAGAGAACTGCTACTCTGTGCTTAATGAACTTCCAGCAAATGAGAGTGGCCTTCTGTGGCTACTAGAAGTTGTAGGTCACTTCAGAACTTATCAAAGCCTCTTTCCAAATGATCCCTAGATGTTTTGAAATAAACATACAATCCAGATCCACACCTAGCTTGACATTGTATCATTCCGATTAATTTTGAGGACAATTTTTTGTCCTTGTTTCTTCCAATAAAATTCTAGTATCCAGTAAGATTCTTACTTACCTAAGAGCTCTGCAATTCCATTATGAACATCACATAGGTGATTTAACAGAGGTTCCCTACTACTGTAATATTTGCCAATGGCATTAAACAGAAGTCCTTTCACTAAGTCTATTCTATCTGGTTGCTCAGGAAAGTTTCTGCTTATGTCCACCACCATCTGGTCTGGAAGGTATTCCAAGCAGTCAGTTGCTGCAGAGAGCCACTCATCTTCCCTATGGGGGGAAAAAAGAACGCTTTTAAAAAGCAAAAAGTACCGTATTTTCCGGCATATAAGACGACTTTTGAAACGAAAAAAAGTCAACCAAAAATCGGGGGCAAAAGACCAAAATTGCACAAAAATTACCTGCAGATCTTGACGGCAAAGTAAGTTTTTTCTTTGAAGTGGGGGGTAGTCTTATACAGCGAATATAGGCCTAAACCTATGTTTTAACTGTAAAATTAGGGGGTCGTCTTATACGCCGGCCAATTTACTAGCTATTTCAAGTTTGCCAGCAGGATAAACTTCTACACCCTTAGGTAAAGATAAGTGTAATTCTTTTTAATATACAGTGAGGTCATGTATCACAGATAAAAAGTTCGGCTTATTATATATCTTCTTACCTTTTTAAAAAGTGAAAATGGAAGCTATCCAGGACAATATAGAGCTGAAAAAGGACATCGAAATTCAAACTCTATTCTTTACATTTACAGTAGAGGCACAGAAACTCTTAAGTTACTTGCTCAAAGTCCCAGGCAGGACTAGGTCCCAGATCTGATTCCTAGACCACTATTTTTCTAATATAATGTTCCTTACTTCAGAGCTCTATATATGATGTCATCTCTCACTTTGGCTAAGAGAGAATAGAGGAAGATAAGGTAGGGTTTCAGAATAATAAAATATTAATTACCATTTCTAATAAAATACCAGCTGAGTAACTTCAGAAAAAGGCTGTATTTCAAGACATAACTTTTAATACTTGATTTGTTAATTTATATAGTTTAAAAATATTCATATACTAGACTCAGAACAACTATATCTACCACCCAGGTGCATTATCATGGGCAGGTCACTTCACCTCCCTGGGCATCAGTTTCATCAAGTTTATAATAAGAAGCAGCAAGATAATCTTTTAAGTTTACTTCTAGCACAATTACTGATTCTGTATTTAAGGTCATAATGTTTTCACATAATGTTTTCTACATTCCGATTGTAGAAATGTAATTTAAATTCCCATAGAATAAGTTCCCATTATACATGCGGAGTTCAATAACTAGTAAGTTGGGATTAATTTTTACATATAAGGATTTAAGTTAGCTTTTGACCTTCAACTATTTGTTTATTAATAGTTCACTGGAATGTAGATCTGGTGAAATACTAAACATGTTAAGTTGTATTTCTGTCTAACATTTCCATCTTTCTAACTATGCTGGAACACTATCTGCTAAGGCAAAATTGTTAAAAATTAAATGAGCTTAAAATACAAGATTTTAACCTTTAATAATTATATTTAGGAGAGAAGCATCAAAGTTATAGCGCTCTGTTTTAAGGGGAAAAATCATAATTTCCTTAACTTGAAGTTAATTTAAGCCTTTAAACCTTAAGATTTATATTCAGAAGAATGGTAGAGGTGAGAACAAGAGTTACTTTCATTATATTTATTTAACAAAACTAGTTAATTTAAAAATATGTATTTAACAGGTGTTCTAGAGGCATATAAAAGCACATGTAGAGCCCTGGCTAGGTACCTCAGTTGGTTAGAGCATTGTCCCAATACACCAAGGTTGCGGTATGATTCCTGATCAGGGCATATAAGAAACAACCAATGGCTGAAACCGGTTTGGCTCAATGGATAGAGCATCGGCTTGGGGACTGAAGGGTCCCGGGTTCAATTCTGGTCAAGGGCATGTACCTTGGTTGCGGGCATATCCCCAGTAGGGGGTGTGCAAGAAGCAGCTGATTGATGACTCTCTCTCATTGATGTTTCTAATTCTCTATCTCTCTCCCTTCCTCTCTGTACAAAATCAATAAAATATATTTTTTTTAAAAAGAAACAACCAATGTGCGGGCATATCCCCAGTAGGGGGTGTGCAAGAGGCGGCTGATCGATGACTCTCTCATCGATGTTTCTAACTCTATCTCTCTCCCTTCCTCTCTGTACAAAATCAATAAAATATATTTTTTTAAAAAAAGAAACAACCAATGAATGCATAAATAAGTGGAACAACAAGTCAATGTCTCTCTCTCCTCTCTCTCTCTTCCTCTCTCTCCAAAATCAATCAATAAATTTTAAAAAATTTTAAGCATCTATGGTCAGATAATTCTAAGAATTTTCCAAATCTGTTAATTTTTTTCCAGGTTTCTTTGAAAACTGGACACCCCTAAGACACCAAACGGACCTACTAAGAAGATGGAGCATAATCATTTTCTTCACTTGATATACAAGTAAGTTATATGTGAAACAAAAATGAATATGAAAAATAATGAAATATAAATCTTTCTAATTTTGACCACAGTGATTTTGTTCTTTACTTTCCCAAATACTGATAATTTCAACTGACTATGCATATCTGATTTCATGGACAGAAGAATTCAAAATATTATCTTAAAATAATGATCTATAACCAACCTACAAGCACACTCAAATTATTATATGTATTTTCACATACTGAGAGTCACCATAAGCCTTGAGAATCCCTCGATCCAGGTAGTTACTATTGTTGACCAAGTCAGGCTGCCTCTTAGGTTGAGAAACTTTAGGTACAACCTCTTGCTGTTTGAGTAAGGATTCAAGAAGTGGAAGGTCTACAAGTTGCAGTAGACGTGCAATTGTTTCTTCTTGCCAAACTTCATTAATAACTACACAGGAAAAAATGACAGGCCGAAAAGTAACAATAGTTACTAAATATTCACCATGATATTTGTCTAGTATTTGTCTAGGTAGGTCTAAGCTAATGAGAGAGAGAGGGGGAGGGGGGAGAGAGAGAGAAATAGTCAACCTTATCAAGTGATTTCTGAAAACAATTCAAGATTTGTTTAAAGTGTAGGAGAACAGACTTTGGACAACAGGAATTCTTTTCATTCTTGTACTATAAAAAGCAATATGGCAGAGATAAGAAATCAAGTCATAAAGCATGTTAATAAGGACTTTGAAAGAAAGAATGGTTCATTCAATCTGAAAACTCGTTTGAAACTCTTGACTGCAGATTATTTCACTCAAGGTTTCCACCACAAGGATGGTGGGGGGAAGGTGGAAATCAGTCATGAAATTATATTCCATTGCCACAGAAAAGGAAGAATATAAGAATTCTGTTACTATTTTAATGGAATTTTAAAGTTTTTACTTAATCTAATAAAATCTTAGGGAAATAAATATCTGAGAGCATATTCTGAATAAAAATCTGCATGCAAAACATTTCAGATTTGAACCTCTGCCAGCTGACAGGACAAAAGTCAGTGTTCAAGAATTGCAACACTGATCTATTTGTTAAAGATAATAGACCTCTGTTAAAACTTAATATAAACAGTTTTAATACACAGTGCACTCTTTCTTTGTGCTGTGAATATTTAAATTCTAAAAAAGGTTAAGATTGAAATATTTTTAAATAACTTTATTTGAAATTAGCCTTCTGCTTCTTCCTTGCATCATCTTTAGCTTACCTTGTGGAGACAAAGCTGCAGAGATATTTACACGAGGGGAGTTAGCAGGCTTTAAACTCAGATTTTCCCATAGGTCCTCTAAACTTGCTGATCTGATATCAGATGATTTAAATAATGCATCTGTATACCTAAAATGAATTTATTTAATAAATTAATGTTTATTAGTAAGCCCACAGAAATATTTTAGTATTCGAGAGCCAAGAGTTTCCAGAAAGTTTATGTATTTGAGTAAAAACACAATACATGAAAATTCTAAGAGCAGAAAAAAACATCCCACCTTTTTTATTAGGCCTAAATATACCTACTCTAAATTCTTTGAACATTAGATTTAAGTAATTCAGTGACTAAAATGTTAGTCTGAATTTTAAAACAAACTTCATTATGCTTAATTAGAAGCCCAGTGCACGAAATCGCACAGCCCCACCCACCTGCGTGCACCTCGCCATACTTGCAGCCCCCCACACCTGCGTGTCACTGCGCACGCAGCTTCCTGGTGACCAGTCTTTGGTCGTTACTGCATTTTGACCACTGGGTTTTTATTATATAGATTTTTTTATCAGTTGTCTCTATTTCTGGGGCATTGTTTGGTAGACAGTGCTAATCATTTTCCAAATACAGATCTATTAATACAATCCTTTATCCACAATTCTGAAACCCAAAAAGCTTGGAAAAAAATCTAAAGTTTATTCAGAACTCATATGGTGACAAAACTTGTTTTGAGACTATCATAGTTTTTTATTTATCCAGTTAGTATGAATGTTTTGTTTACTGCAAAAAGACTAATAAGTTTAGTGTTTTTTGGAAAGGTATTTTGTACATATATATTAGATAACACCTCTAAAAAGATCTTTAATCATAAAGATCCTTTTAGAGGTGTTATCTAATACCGTGTTTCTCCAAAAATAAGACATTCTCCGAAAATAAGACCTACTTACAGGTTTCCTTCTGAATGAAGTATAAGGCATCCCCCTGAAAATAAGGCACCCCCTAGGCTCTGTCTCAGAATGCTATTGCTAAACATGAGAGATTTGGTCCACTGATTCTGAAAGAAATGGGGTCACAAGAAATTCACCAGGAAATACAGGAATTGGATTGTTATGATGATGTTCCAGAAGATGATGACATGATTGTCATTGAATAAATGAGTAAATTCTTGATACTGTAGGATTCAGTTTGTCTGTTTTGTGTTGACAACTACCGTACTACCGTACTGTATAAAGGTAATAAATTTCCTTTATTTTCATTTAACAATAAATGTGTACCGTATTCTTCATGGAAAAATAAGACATCCCCTGAAAATAAGACCTAGTGCATCTTTGGGAGCAAAAATTAATATAAGACACTGTCTTATTTTCAGGGAAACAGGGTATATATATATACAAAATATCTTTCTAAAATCTCCTAAATTCCAAATTATTATTTATTTATTTATTTATTTATTTTAAATTCCAAATTCTTTTTTTTTTTTTTTTTAAATATATTTTATTGATCTTTTACAGAGAGGAAGGTAGAGGGATAGAGAGTTAGAAACATCGATGAGAGAGAAACATCGATCAGCTGCCTTCTGCACACCCCCAACCGGGGATGTGCCCACAACCAAAGTACATGCCCTTGGCCGGAATCGAACCTGGGACCTTTCAGTCCGCAGACCGATGCTCTATCCACTGAGCCAAACCGGTTTTGGCTTAAATTCCAAATTCTTGAATCAGTCAGGTCCCCAGAGGTTTCAGATAAAGCATGTGGACCTGCATCTGGAAAATGTTGACTTGGCCTACCTTATCCTCATATTTCCTTCCCACATATAGTGGTAAATTTTATTATGTTTTAAATATATAGTTTTAAAATATTTGAAAGTCAATACATTAAACTTGTGTCAGCTCTGAACTATAAGACCTTTAATGAACTCTGCATGGTTCAAGTGAGGGGAATAAAAGGAAAAGGTGGTGTGTGTTTTTTATAACAAATAATTCAGTTCATTATGTACTTAACACCTACATTCATTTCAGTCACTGGGTTTTACAGTTCTGTCCTACAGTCTCCCTTTAAATGCCTCCCTCATCTTCACCATGGCCGTGTGCTTCACCCTCATCTGTAGACGGCAATATCGCAATGGATTCCAAATAGCTCTCCCCATTAGACTGACCGTACAGCTGCCAGGATGCAATCTCATTCTGCTTAAAATCTTTCTGTGGCTTCATAAAACTGCATGAGCAGTAATAAACTCCTTAATATATCATATGAAACCTGTGTATTCTGGCTCCCACATGCCTTTCATACTTCACATCTACCATTTTGTGGAATCTAATAATACCCTGCCTTCCTGCCTTCACCTTCTCTGTTCTCATACTATTTTGTGGATAAACTCTCTAACATTTTTTACACTATAATTGTAACTTGAAGCAGAAAAATCAGTCTGATAGTTCATATTTTATATTTAGCAGAAACAAACAAGAATTCTAAGAGATAGCAAAAAATAAAAAGTTCACTCTATACTTGATCAAATTTATCCACAGACCTAAATTTTAGCCTAATTTACTAATTCAAAGGAAACATAAAGCCAGTCAGCATCTTTTTAAAAAGTAGACAAAATACTTCCAGTATGCCCATGCTAACCTTATATTATATACTAACCTAGAAGATGAATGTAGTTTATTCTCTTTGCCAAATTGACTGTCTTCTTTGGGTATTGTTGTGAATCTATAAAGGCTGCAGCTACTATCTTCAAACGTAGGTTTTTTGTCTTTTCTAAAGACTTTGGTTGGAACTGCTTCAAATACTTTGTAGTCCATAAGTGCTTGACACACTCTTACTACTTTGGCCCGAGGAATATCTACATCACCGAAATATTTATTCTGAATTAGGTGAGAAAAAATGACATCAACAGCTTCTGAACCAACAAAGCAGTCATTGTGTCTTTTTAAATGGTGCCTTCGTTTTTTCACCTCCACTTGTGTTTGAAGAGTGTTTATAATGCTACTCCATACATATGTGGCTCCAAATGGTTTCTGGGCCACACTGAAACCTGCAATGGAAAAAAAAAAAAATCACAGATTAATCTTATTTATTTATGATAAGGTCTAAGCAATCCTTAAGCAAAAAGTGGCAATTTCTAAAGTTATTAAAAGGAACAATTATAAGGTCAGCTTCTTATTGAAATATGAAACTATTAGTAATAATTCATTTAAAAATGTAATGCCTACTATATGCTAAACACTGTCCTATGTACTAGGATACAACAGTGAACAAAATAAGGTCCCTGTTCTCACAGACATATACTTTATGGGAAGATACAGACAATACAAATATGTTAGATCAATGTTAAGAAGAAAACTAAAGCTAGGTTAAGAAGAAAATGTTATTTTAGATGGACATCAGGAAACACCTTTCTGACAATGTGAATTCTGAGCAGATTTAATGCTGGTACAGTATTTAGTCTCTACTGAAAAGAGCCAGAATCAGGCATTTGATGGAATCTCAAAATATGTCCAGATCATTCATGGTATCCAGGACTCAGGAGCAGCTTTACTGTTTCTAGCCACAATGACTAAACGGAAAGAGTATTAGCCATTACTATGCTTAACTTCCTAAAGTACTAGAGATTATAGTGAAGATTTCAATGAACTTAATGTCTGCTTTCTAGTCTTCTTCATATCTTCATTGTATTATTAATAGCTAATGTTAAGTATTTACAATATGGCAAGCTCTGCCTTCTCTCATTTAATACTGATAAACTTTTCTGAAATAGTTATTAACAATCCTATTCTGAGGTAATTAAGGCTTAGTGA